AGCTTCTGGTTACCTTGCCAAAGGCGGTTTAGGTTGTTGCATGCGAGAGCTTGAGGCACCAGCATCGTCAAACTGTGCAGTGGTAGAAAGAGTTGCTTGTTGTTTGAGTTGGCAGCTCCTTCAAGATGTTTTCATTGAATTCAAGGATCGTTGACGTCCAAGCAGCGGTTGGCTCTCCTCTACAGAACGTTGGTTGTCAGAATGGTCTCCAATTTCATTGGTCTTGCGGGCAAATCAAAGGAAGAAGCAAAATTGGACGAGTGTGAAGCCCATATGCTAAGAACCGGTCTAATGAGATGCAGTGAGGGTGTAGTGAAACGATGAGAAGTAGTCACCGGTACTTGCTGTCCAGAGGATGTCGATTCCATGGCTTGTGTACCTATGCAGCATCTTTTGAAGAAACGCATGCAGTATTTGGGTTCGACGGTAGAGTCAGTCTCTACGGTACTATTGTATAGCTGCTTGATAGTGACGTTGAGCTTCTATCGGTGGCCTATACACCATGGTCAATGTCGCGTGGCTAGGTAGTGTCTATACAGAGCTTTGTTTATTGTCCATGTCTGTAACTAGCACCTGAATTTCTAGACACTCAGCTCCTTTGATCCGGACATGGGGTATGCCAGATCAAGTACCTTCAAATCTACATCATTGCCGTCAAGGATGATCGACAAACAGCGAAAACCGAAAATACATCCGCCGACCTGTGATTCGGCTAGCGCATGATAAGGGGTAAAGGTTTTGTTGCAAAGAAAGCATATTGATGATATCTCGATACATCTACTGATGTTACTGGCCTTGGCCGCTCTGGTACCACAAGAAATCTAGCGGATATTCAGACTGGTGAACGCAGATGACGTGCCGAGAGCATTATCCAGATTGTATCTGTCGACTCAATCACGTGAATGATCGGCTGCAGTATTGCTTAGTTGAGACTGACGATTCGTAGAAACCCAGACACTTCACTAAAATATCTCATATGGATCATAGTTAAAGCTGCACGCCGAAGCGCAGTACCAATGACCGCCGCGGAGGGGCAGACATGAGCGTAAGCTCAAGGCGCGGTGAATGTCTGCCCGATGATATTTCCCGTGATTGGGAAACCATGAAAACATTTACAGGATCTTACGCAAACAGACAGACGAGGAGAACTGCCAATGGCCTGAAGATCCAGGGAATTACTGCGGATACCGTTTGTGTCGACATACGCACCCTTGGTGTATCCGGCGTTCATGCGCTGAACGAGTTAGCGTCAAGACGTTTCTTCGGAGCACATACCGCCGAATTAGAGTCGGAACAACATGCGCCTAGAAATTGGTGTTTCGACACAAGTCAGATCTCATCTTGGCGTTCTTGGGCTTTCGAACGCCTCCACCATCTTGACTCGATGTCTAGCGCGTGCAAGAACACTGGATATGTTCTTCGCCTGAGCCTTGTTTGGAGCACGATGTAGTTGATTGTGCGTCTATCCCGCTAGGCTCATCATATCAAGATATTCAGAAATCACGTTGCTGGCTTGCTAGGAGAACCTTCGTGTTCTGACAGCTGTCTTCGTGAGGCTAGTCGCAGGCTAGTTTATGTCCGATAGGGCCGTCCCTCCTCGTCTCCACTCCAACCAACGCTCAGACTACTTCGCTATCGTCCTAGTTAGTATATTGAAACCTAGGTATTTTTCCACCCATTCATCGACGTGGACTTGAGCTACTGAGTGCTGTCACTGTAACTTCCACTTTGGCATGGATGGCGATCTCTGGACCCACAAATTCATCCCATTGGTGGTCTTTCTCCACACTGACAGCCAAGCATTCTGCGCAACAATGTCAAACAGTGGCGCCTGCTCCTATATTGTACTTCCTATTTCGATTTGTACCTAGAGGTTCTCGGAATCTCTCAGCGCTAATGCAATAATCGAAAGCCGTCGGCTTTTGAGGTTTCCCCAGGTATGCACCCCAGATTTACCATGCACATCCTGCTGTCAAGCCTTTGTATCACGTATTAGCTCACGAGACCGCTATACACTAATACCTTTGGTGGAACACGACCTCCTGCTCGAAGCCTCATGAAAGCCAAGACAAAAGTCATATATTCGCGGAGAAACTCCACATCGTACATTCTCGAGTTGGTTCCCCGACTCGTAGTATTAAGGGCGGCCAAGTTGACGATCATGGAGCCTGTACAGATCCCAGCAGCCTAGATCCTCCAGCCTCGATCTTCCAGTATAAAGACATCCTCAATATCACTGCCTATCTCACCATCCATCGCCTTCCTTCATCACTTCAGAGTCGATCTCTGTTCATTCTTTTACATTCTCTGAAACCAATACCTTCTCTTCTGCCTCTCATTTTACCAATCTCACAACAACACCAAGATGCGTTTTTTCGAGATTGCCACCGCGGCTATGACAGCTGCCTCAACTGCTTATGGCGCACCCATGGAGAAACGCGCTGCAGCTGTTGACGAGCTTGTTGGATTCGCCGCAGGCACCACCGGAGGAGGAAGCGGTGCAGGCACCACTGTCACCTCCTGCGCTGAGTTGACTGCTGCGGCCAAGGCTGGCGGAGTGATCAAGGTCAAGGGCATGCTCACTGGCTGCGGCGTCATCCGCGTCGGTACCGCTGGTACCTCTATCCTTGGTGTTGGCAAGGATGCTGGTCTTACAGACTCTGGTCTCCAAGTCTTTAAGACCTCCAACATCATCATCCGGAACCTCAAGTTGTACCGCGCTCCCAAGGGCAAAGACCTCATCGACATTGAGGGCTCGACCAACGTTTGGGTTGACCACAACGACTTTTCCAGTATTGGTATTACCGGCGACAAGGACACATACGATGGCCTGCTTGACGCCAAATCTGGAGCCGATATGCTTACCTTCTCCTGGAACAAGTTCCACGACCACGTGAGTCTGCACCATGCTATCAGTTCATAATATATTCAATGCTAACACCCAGAAGTGGAAGGGCTCTCTCGTAGGCCACTCTGACAACAACGCCTCCAAGGACAAGGGCAAGCTTCACGTCACCTACCACCACAACTCCTTCGTTGGCGTCAACTCGCGTCTGCCTTCGATCCGTTTCGGCACCGGACACATCTACAGCTCCTGCTACGAGGGCGGTATCTCCGGTGTCAACTCGCGCATGGGGGCTCAAGTCCTCGTTGAGGCCAACTCCTTCACCGGTGTCGACAAGGCTGTTGTAACCAACTTGGACTCTGATGAGGAAGGTTTTGCCGTCGAGAAGAACAACATCTTCACCAACAGCCCTACTCAGATCACTCAGAAGGGTTCTTTCGCACCCAGCTACAAGTACACTGTTGACCCTGCGGCCAGTGTTTGCGCTATCGTGCAGAAGAGCGCTGGTGTCGGTGTTGTCACCTTCTGAGCAACGACGGATCTTGGTGATACAAGCTCACTGGTATGAGTGAAGAGAGCTGAAGCAGTTGCGCGTTCGGTTTTGTACATACATTTATTTCTTGAATATACTTGCATTGCGTCTATACATTGCTTTCGATATGTTGTCACCACTTGCACCACGCGTCAGACGAATTTGACACGTTAATACCAGCCTGATAGTTCATTGGAGCACGGAAATTTGGGTATAATTGACTCTAGTCTTGTGCGTTCTTATGAGTGCACAAGCATATGCACCTCCCACCATCTTCTTCTCTACTTGTTCCAACCTCCGATATTCTGCTTCAACTTCTTTGTTGAGCATTAAGCGGGGAATACCCACACGATTGAGAAAAGGGTAGCAATAACACCCACGATGACTAAAACTTCTGGTCCAGCCAAGATGCCAACAGGCAGCCCCTCGGTCGTAAATTGTGCCACGATGCCCTGAGTGAAGTTCTTCTCCGCCTCCACTAGCGCGATCTCCGTCCAGTTTCCACACCTGGAGTTCAGATCTGCATCGGCCGTGAGGGCAGGTAGCTTCGCGATGGCAGCATCCATCATGCGCGCGCTGGTCAGGGTACCGACGTTGGCTTTTTGCATGACGACAGTACGGTAAGAGCCATTGGCGCCGACGGTCGACATGTTGGCTGTGCGTTCATAGTCGAGACACAAATCAGCTTGCGAAGGTGTGGCGGAGACTTGGCGGACTTCGAGTGTGGTGTTGAGGAGGCCGCCGGGGAGAACAGGAACAGGGTTTGGGCCAGCGGCTACCAGATGAAAGACCGAGAGGGCGATGAAGATGTTTGTAAGGAGTGAGGAATGCATGACGTCGTCGATGTTTTTTTGGGTTCGTCCTAAGGAATGGATTGGTAGAGAGAGGGACGGGAAAAAGTAAGATATTATTAGAAAGATATTTTGGTGACCGGCACGCCTCAAGAAATGAATGTATAGACGAACGAAATGAAAAGAAAGTTCGTTGCTGGTGAGGTTTGGTTCCACTGCCTGAGGTATACCAGAAGTTCGGGATGGAGAAAAAAAGCCGACAAGGGAACAAAAAAAATCAGGCCACTTCGACGTGATATATGAGGCCGCAAGAACGATGATGGCTATCATTCATACTGCACTGCGACGTGGATTGCCGGATAAGGGGTGGTTATGAGGCTCATGGTGTATCAGGTTACATGGAGGCTCTTAAGCGCCCCTAGTAGGCGCTAGGGTGCCTCGTGGAGTATTGACGGATCGCGCCGAAATATCATCATAAGTGTAAGCACCAGTAATTAATAGAGGAACTCTGAGGCGTCGCTGCAATGGATTTGGTAAGTCGTGATCGAAGATGTGGCGGTAAAAAGAAGTGCGGCGTGGTGATGGGATGATTGGGGAGCGATTCTAGCGCGGGAAGATCGTCATCCGCGCACGGGGCATTTCATGCATTAGGCGTCTAACGAAAGCCCCGAACTCTCCTCTTTTAGCCTCTTCTGTCGATTATGTGACAGCCGCTGTCAACGTGCGAAACGACATCACCTTGATCAGAGCATGTCTGCCTCTTCAAGTCTCTTGATCCGACATACCCCCGTCCCCACCGAGTAACTCCATGATCTTATTTCGAGCCCTACCATCACGATAAGAATGCGTCGAAACTCCGTATGTCGTCCATATTGAAAGTGCCTGACATGAGCATATCCCAGTCCTCCGTGAACTCGGGGGATAATTGAAAGTTGAAATCCTCCATAGCAATTCCGCCAATTCCAACAGTACCCGAAGACGGCTCTCGACTTCCAGCCAGGGCCTCCAAGATCGGTATGCAAACCTCGGCAGCTTGTTCTGACGCTTCCACCAATAATACAGACAAATCCGACTGGCTCACGTTATGTTTTGTCGCGTCAATCCAAACGCCAATGAGGCGCAAGAGAAGGTAGCCCTTGATACCTGTCTCTCCGGCTTGTATGCATCGGAGATACCAATCCGTAGCATCGCCAACAATGTTTCGTAGAGGTAGTGGTGACGCATGTAGGTCGTCCTCGTCTTCTTGAATCCGTATTCTTACTTCATTGGCCAAGAATGTTGCTCCGTGGAAGGTGTACATTCGAAAGAAACCCGCTGTGCATCGACACATTCGCGCTAGGTCTGTCTCACCTGAAGTATACGAGTTTTCATCTGAAGCTGGACACGCCATGCTCCAGATTTTTAGCGACGAGTCGACGGTAGCTTTCCTCGAATAGGCGTACACCGGATCTTGGAGTGCGGAAGCGAAGAATGGAACATGTAGACAGGTAATGTAGCGCTGCATAACAAATTCGACAGCTTGCAATGTAAATTGCGATGGGCACGAGGTGGTAGAGGTGGTAGAGGTGGCGTATGCTTGAATGGTGCGACGCAGGAGCTTATGTGCTGTTCTCAGGTCTGAGTCGATGCGAAGCGTCTCCTCATACGTCCCCGTCGATTTGATATCGTTGAGAAATTTGAGTACCACAAGGCGAGCTGGGAGGGTTTTCCGTAAAGCTATGGAGATCGATGTTTGCGTATACACATCGTCTGCCTTTGCGAAGGGCTCTAAGCCTAGAAGTTGCTCATCATCAAAGTTGCCTGGTGGCGCTGTGTTGTAGTCGTCCGACGAGAAGAACGGCGGTCCACCTGACTCCATGCTCATCTGAAGCGACAGCTCGAGAATCGTGTTCCATATCCGTCGGCGCATCTCAGCTTCAAGGACCGTTGTTCTCGGCAGTTGTGACGGATCTTTGTGTAAACCAATGTATACTGCTGCTCGAAAGACCGCTCCTGCAGATATCCATACTAGCTCAGAGCCTACATCGACAAGCTCTCGTGCAAGGAGAAGAAGGATGCTGATCTGGAGATATTGAACACCAAGTTGCGATTTGAAGAAGGGCGATGAGAGCCAAGTCTGAGCCTCGAAAACCCATCGCACTGCTTCGGCTCGCATGGATACTTTGTCATCGTATATCATTGCACCAATAGCCAGGACCAATTTGAGCACCATTATGAATGCCATGTTAGGCTCTGAGTCGCTTGTCCACATGTGTTCATACGTGCGCTTGAAGCTTGGGACGTGTAGCACGCGATACATTGTCTCGATGGTGCGGAGGTAGCCAGCAACTAGATCGTCGCAGACGTGTCTTGGGGGAAAGTCCCGCGTTGGAGGCGTAGGCCAAGTTGGAGAGCGGTGTGACTTGACCATCCGGGCCAGTGACTTAACTCGTTGCATGTTGGGGACTAGGTTGGATGATCTCATGCGGAGGCGAGGCTCCATCATCTCGATGATATCGCGGTACATTATGAACCCATTCATCCAGTGACTCTGGCCAAAAACCCGATTCTTATGCGCAATGCCTCGAGAGATAGCGGCACCACCAGGCATCCGAGTATCCTGGATGACGTCGACTGTACAGGCAAAACTGCTGACAGTTTGCACGGTATGAGTTGACGTTGGAGTGGAAGCTGACGGCGAGAAGACAGAGCTAGTAGTGCTTCCCGTTCGCGACAACTTGTCTTCCAATTCGGCAATGCGTGCCCTCATAGCGTCCATCTCGAACGAGGCTTGGCTACTAACTACACCAGGTGTTGTGGTTGACGAACTCGAAAGCATACCCGGTGTGCCCATGAACGTTGAGTTACTGTTGTGTGGTTGTATGGGTGTAACATGTACTGGGGCTGGCCTCTTGTCTGATACTTCACTCTCATAAACACAAGACCCGGTCTTGCTCCTCAAACAATTATTGCATGGCATCTCTCGATTGCAGCGTATCTTTCTTCTACGGCACAATGTGCAAGAGCTGGATATGTCAGCTTCGGTTATAGTGGCGGGGCTACCAAGTCAACTCACATAGCGAGTCTCTTGCGTCTGCGACTGAAGTCGGTCATTCTCGGTGATGCCTGTTTGTTCGATAAACGGGACTCAGGATTGTGGGTAAATGTGGTGAAGCTGAGTATAAGAATAGGTGGAGCGGGAGTAAATGTCGGTGACTTGATCTAAAAGTCGGACATGGCTGCACTTTTCGGTGAAGTGGACCAATAAGCACGCGTCCTTATCTCCGACTGGAATGAATACCGACCCCGAAAACTTCCTTGCTATGAAGATATAACAGAAGTCTGAGTTGTATATATACCTCGTCGAAATGGACAGTGTAATTCCAATTAACTTCGCTATCAGACACATCGATCAAAACAATTTCATCGCAGGATCTTCGGATACAAGCTCACGATGTCTGCACGATCCACAATTCCAGACACCACGTCAAGCACCAGCTCCCCTTCAGTCCCTTCCTACGATGTCGAAAAGGCATCTCATGAGTCAGTTCACGACAAAAGTGAAGCAGCCACCGATGCCGAAATCGCCGCTTTAGGCCCTGCTCCCGACGGAGGTTTGACAGCTTGGCTTAACGCCTTTGGCGGCTTCTGCATCTTCTTCTGCTGTCTCGGCTTCACCTCTTGCTTCGGAGTGCTCCAGCAATACTATTCTACCCACCAACTGAAAGACTATAGCATGGATCAGATTGCGTGGATAGGTAGCTTAGCAAGCTTCATCCAGTTTGCTGGGGGTGCTATCGGAGGACCGATGTTTGATCGTTACGGAGCTTGGGTGCGTATTCTATGGTTCCACGAGACCGGAATTGTACTGACTGGCCGAATAGATGATGCGACCCGCAACACTCACCTACGTCCTTGGGTTGATGATGGTCTCTTTGTGCAGCGAGTACTACCAATTCTTCCTTGCGCAGTCTATCCTCATGGGCACCAGCGTGGCTTTTCTCCAATTCCCTGCCTTTGCAGTAATGGGCCATTACTTCGACAAGCGACGCGCAGCTGCTCTTGGAATCGTGGCGTCTGGGTCTTCGGTTGGCGGCGTCATTTTTCCCATCGTCTTGTCCAAACTGCTCAACAGCTCTTCCCTATCCTTTGGCTGGTCCATTCGCATCGTCGCTTTCCTCATGCTTCCCTTCATGTTGTTTGCCTGCTTCATCATCAAGCCGCGTGTTACGCCTCGCAAGACGACCATCTTCATCGGGGAAGCATGGAAGATTAAGCGATACGTATTGCTCGTTGCAGGACTGTTCTTCATGATGATGGGTATGTGGATACCGGTCTTCTATCTCCCGGTCTATGCTGTCAGCCGAGGAATGAGTCCGTTACTGGCATCCTACCTTCTCGCCATGATTAATGGATCTTCGACATTCGGTCGCATTATCCCAGGAATACTAGCGGATAAGCTCGGTGGGATGAACATGTTCGCCTTCGCGGGCGTTGGCACCAGCGTCATGGTATTCTGCATAAACGAGCCAACGACCAACGCTGGTATCATCGTCTACTCCATCTTCTTCGGTTTCGTATCGGGCACCATCATCTCAGCTGGCTCAGCAGCTATTTCCAAGTGCACCAAAGATCCAAGGAACCTTGGGACGTACATGGGCATGGGCATGGGTATTGCGGCGTTTGCTGTCCTCATTGGCCCTCCCATTAACGGCGCGTTTATTGACCAGTATGGCGGCTTCAGGGAGGTATCCATCTTTAGTGGTGTGATGAGCTTGATGGGTGGTTTAATCGCGTTGTCTGCCAAGTTAGCCACAGCGGAAGGTATCTTTGGGAAAGTCTAAGTTGGTATGCGCCGGACCAGCAGGGCGTGTGGGAGCGTTGATGGGTGAGATTGGATACATCAACTGCCAGTTACGACTCAAGGGTAGAAGGGAAGCAAGTGGATGCTCATCAGCTTTATTGATTATTATATCAGCGGGTATGAGATATGAAACACCGTTCGCCAAATGCCAGTAGTAAAACCTATATATTATGCACCACCTCATCGCATCTATGCGTTCGCGCTCATGAGAACATGTCTTTCGTTTTGCAGGGGCCCATGGATGTATCTTGGGTACATAGCGTGTCCGATACGTGTAGATCGGTCATGTCGCTTATGCGGGAATAGGCTCGTAGGTGTTGTGGGCTTGACGGTTGGAGAAGAGGTAGTAGATGATCATGCCGACGACGGGGAAGAGGAAGACGACGAGTGCCCAAAGCACCTTGTTGGGGACGGGGCGGTTGGACTTGAAGATCTCGACTGCAGCACGTGTTAGCTTTGAACGAAGCGCGACAAGCGCGGCGTGGGGGACGTGGTTGCTGCTTACTCCAGGCAATGATGTCGAGAACAAGGACGATGAAGCCAATGATGCCACCGCCGGTACCAGCTTGCCACGGCTTAGCTGACTGCACCGTCATGGGAGCTGCCTCGGCGAGCATGAACATAGACAGCTGGAGGAGCAGCGAGAGGACGAAGTTCATCATGATGGCGGTATTGCGTGATGTCGAGGTTGGTCGAGTGAAGAAGATGTGGTTTGGTTTTGGGCAATTGTATGCGGCGCTGCTGCCTTGTATATGAAGCGGCGGGGCGGAGCTGTTTGATGTCCCGCACAGACGTACGTCACTGGAAATACTATCGTCACGCGACACGCCCATCCAAGGTACGCATGCATCAGCCCGCAGCATATTTGGCACATCTCTGCTCCAAAGAGACACGGCGCGCCTGCATCCATCCGTGCCCTTTCCGCCGACTCTCTTGGCCCTTTCGAACAAGCAAAGACGACCAGACACGACAGACGCGTGAGGAACGCGTCGTCTTCATCACCTAGTCAGCTGATGCGAGAGCTCGATGCTCGGTTCCCACATCAACTCCGATCAAGCCATTATCCACAGACAAACCCGTTCTTGTCCTGTAGCTCTTGTGCCGTTTCGTAAATGGTTTGGGACAGGGCAGAACTACAGCAGTACACAATTGCGCGTCGGTCCGCAAGTCATGTCCAAGCCAGCGTCCAACAGCTGCAATAGTGGCCTCGGGGCTTTTACTTCCAGGCAGATGCAGTACTAGTTCGCTATCATACTCCCATCGCTATTGTAAACTTCGGTGGTTGTTTCAGAGTGCTAGTAGCCATTATTCATTCCGCCCGAATATCTGCGACTGCGAGGCTTATCTTTGCGCATCTTATCATAATTACGATCCCGTCTAACACTGTCCAAGCACGATTGCATAGTTTACTATGCATCTACTAATACGCATCTCACGGCTTACTGCTTGGGATAATCGCTCACTCAATTCATCCAAGTAATCCTCCCAAACAGTAACCAGCGAACGAGGAATTCAGTAGGCGGCCACCTAAATCCAGACCCGGAGCGCCACATTAATCTGCAAACTCTGCTCCCATGTGCTGACCAGGATGCATCGAGCTAGAAAGCACAGCTTGACGTTTGGAGTGGGGGTCCAACGGGTGAGTAAGCATGGGCTAGATTGCGGAAATTGGAGCGGTTGTCGAGATGGGATTGCTTGATAAGGTATATGGAGTGATATAGCCCTTGTGCATCGACTATGATTCATCTGACGACCACATACCAAGCTTGTGGTATGCGAGACCATGCCGTCGAATCAGCAATCTCAAGGGGCAGTGCGACGTTGATGTCTTCCATCCGTGGTGAAGTAGTGGATGGAGAATAACACCAGCTTTGAGATCCACAAACATGCCTTCTCTACCAGTTTCTTTGTTGAGATTAGTGCCACGTGATGAGGTGAAGGACAAAGTGGAGGATTGTGACGTTTCAACACGCGAATGAGGACGTCTGTGCCGCTTCCCCACTTCACTGGACGCCGTACGCCATTAAGTAAGCAGAGACCTCCTTGTAAGTTGGGGAGTAGATAGTTCAAGGGACGATACCAGAGTCCTGACCAGACAGGCAACATGTCTTAGCACCGTCAGGATTATCACTATCCAAATACTGCTTCATATTAACCACCACGCACTTCTCACGTAACACAACTTGATTCAGACACAGACACGGCGTTTTGAAGTAACATCGCAGCCTTATGAGTCCCAACAGCTCATCTGACATCCGCCGTACTCGTTTCACAGGCACGACATATATCTATTGTGACATAGAAGACCCCACATTGCACGCTGAAAACGCCACCTCATGTGGATTCCAGGTGGCAGCTAGCTTGGTTGACAGGGTTCTTGGTCACAGTGATTTGAGCTTATTCGGGATCGTCACCATTGAGCAAAGTTCAACACAGGAGCAAGAATCCAGTAATAGGTATCAAATGAAGGAGCGACAAGATCGTGATGATTGTAGTACGGAACGATTTCAAATGCGCTCACCGCTGCACTCACGTAGCCTCAGCTGCGGAGGAGGGCGAGTCATCATCGACATCCATGGCTCGCAGCTTGGCTTCTACAGCCGCCACAACTTGAGCATCAAAACGGTCTCCCTTTTCAGTCTTCCTGACACTAAGGATTGTTAGCAATGCACATGTGCAAGGCGCTATCATGGGTATGCTCACGGTGATCTTGTACACTTGTCGCATCTTTCATGCCCGCACCCAGGACACTGCGGCGAGTTGTTGTGAAAGAGGCCATTGCACTTCTCGCACTGCCATCGCACCCTTTGCCTGGGCTTTCTCCATGTTCGTCTAAACTTGTCAAGCTGCTTTTCCACCTCGGTCTCGCTGTCAGGCTCAGCAGCATCTCCTGGATACCCATTGGGCCACTTATTGAGCTTGGCAGGCTCACGTGGACATTTCGTACAACGGACATGCTGGCATTGATCGCAGACGTTTGCCGTTGCGGG